TTAATTCACTGCATTTTTTTTTTAGCAGGTCAGTAGCTTTGCTCCAAAAAAGCAGATGGCAACAGTAAGTCATCTTGAAACTTCATGGAAGAAAGACTGAAACCACTCAGATCCCAGAGAGGTTTTACCAGGGAAGCCCAGGGGGTAGAAACAAAGAGATGCAGGGCTGGAAAGGACACACACACACCCCCACACACCCCCATACCGCAGAACCCACATCTCTTCCTTTCCTTCTCTCCCCAGCAGCAGGCATGAGCCCAAACAGGTCTAATGCAATACCTCCTCCATAAGCACTGCACTTAAGAGACAGCAGCATACTTTCCTATACCCATGAAAAACTTGAGACCCACAGGAAAAACCCTGAACCAAAAGCAAGTCACAGAAAAGGGTAGGGGGTTAAAAATGGTGTTGCTGGTGTCCTTTTTTCATATACTAACAGAAAGGTGAGGAGATATCTAAAAGCCTCTAGCAATTCAGCACTGAGAAAGCTTCCTTCTTAAAGCCTTGTCCCACACTTTGAACTCTCCACTGAACAGGGCCATCCCTCAGTGACTGGTCTACACGTGGTTTATAAAAGGATATGAGATCATATCTGTTGCAACAAAATATTTATTAAGTCACTCTTAGAAGTGCCAAAAGGGGGGAGAGACAGAGGTCACTGAGTGGTTCAGGCTTACTCCCGAAAAGCCAGAACTTGAACCTGGTCACCAGCACATCTCAGAGCAACTAACTGCTGAACTACTACCTCTTCTTCACTGGGGAAAGGGTGTTTCTGCGATTTCGTCTGTGTGATTATCACTCCCCACCCCCCAACAGCACAGTTCTGCTCTTAAATGGGAAGAAAACAGCATCTAAAGTTTTAATTTCTTATTAAATTGAATACTCATTTTTCAAGCTGTTGGTTCTCTTCCAAAGAAGGAAGCACACCAGGAATCATCTTTGCACTGTTTGAAACCTTGAGAAGAGACTGCTTGGCACATGAGTGATGCAATATACCCCAGCATGATAAGGAAAGGCGGCATGGAGGATGTCGTGGCTTGGGGAAAACAAAAACAGGGAAACGGGAGAAGGACTACTGCAGAGCTTTAGTGCATGGACCAAAAATGCTCTGGCAACTGCCAACCATGCACAGTCTTGGCTATCAAACTACACCATAAAACAAATAAGAAGACAGACCACAATATGTGCCTGCCACAAGTCAAGATCTCCCACCTACTCTGGATACATCTGATCAGTAAACAGCATGCCCATGATGGTGATAAACAGCAACTGGGACAAAGAAAGATTCACATTTCAGCTCCTAAATGGTGCTTTAGAAAAAAACAACCCAATACACCAAGTATGTCGTGCATAAAGAAGTATCATATATCACTACAAGGCTAGCTGACCCACAGACTTGACAAATCTGTTATTGTTTCCATATTCCTTGGCAAAGCAGAGGCATGTTAAAACCATTCTCCTCCTTAGTCATCTCCTTGTTGGTTCCAGGTCAACATACACTTCCAACAAATCACATCCTTACTGAGCAGAAGAAAGCTGTTAGTTTAAAAAGCATTTTTATGACTAGAAGTGAAGTTCTTGAAAAAATGCTTTACATGCTATAATGATTCTACATACATACAGAACATAGTAACCCACCACAGTTATGTTCTCCTGCTTTAATGGACAATCCTAACAACTTGAGCGCTTTCCAACCTGAAAAGTATTAATATTTCTTTT